TTATTACGCCTCGCAAACAGGATAAATTGGTGGATGACACTTCGATGCGTGTTTTAGTATTGCCAATCGCAACCGGAAAGATGCGGCCGCATAGCTAAATAAAATAGCGTCGGTGCCAAATGTCCAGTGGCGAGAGCTTCAGAGTTCGAGCTCCAGTTCCTCTAGACCCAGCGTTGATTCGGTATATGTGGAATCCTTGGCTGTTTCCCTCAACAAATATATCTGGGATTTGCAATAAGAAATTCGAGGAACTGAACTGTATATAAATTGTAGGCAATAAGGCTGCCATCGCGAGGCGTCATTTGAATAACGGATAATTATGGCTACTCAAATCAAACTAGTAGCCTGTTTGTGTCAAATTATGCATTGGCTGTTGGGTAGACATGGCTTTAGTGCAGGGCAAGGCGGCCTGGCGTTGCCATTTCTGACTCATTAACCCTCGCTAACCAGCCATATCCAATCCAATGTTTGGATAACAGGAGCTCATTGGCAAGGGTCGGGGTTTTATTCTCATGGTGTCTTAATCCGGAGTTGAGGATGGCTGGTTAAAAATGGCTAATAGGCCAGAACTGGTAATCGCAGTCTCCTTTGACTTTCCCGCACTCCCTTCTACCAGTCACCATGACACTGCTTGGGAGGACCTTAAGTTCAGCTCCGAAACGTGATGGGAAGAGGGTCTCCCGTGAACTGCCTGGTAAATCGCATTGCCACGATGCACGATCACATGTGCTCAGCAGATGGTCCTCGTCGGATGCGCGAATGTCACCGACTTTATGTACAGCTGGCTGACGACTTTTATATATGTCGAACGGTTTTTCCAGTCTCTAATTAGACACAAACTATGGGTGTATGGTTTGAACCCTCTCTCGCCTCCAGTCTTCTTGACTTGGTCATGACACCAGGCTCAGTTGAGAGGGATAGTCCGGTAGATGCAACGCAATTCCCCTATCACTCAAATCTAATCCACACGTAAGTCACCAAGTTAGTTTGCTGAAGCACGCGATGGACCTCATCGGAATCACTGAATCGAACTGTCTTGTGTCTGTACAGTGAGACATGTGGTAGATCTGTTGGACTATATCAGGGCACGGCAGGCGTTATTGGGAATACTTGTAGGGGTCTAAGTGGTGATTGAGCCTAGATCACTTCAATCATTAGGTCGAATCCCAGGTTGGAGGTAAAAGGCAAGAGTCACCAGAAGGTGTGGTTTATTGTATACAGAACTCCCAGTTGCAGTCTCCGATGGCAGTGGCCACTGGCGAAGCCAG